TGTTTGAAATGTTCATAAAATGTGGAATGGGGGGAATCATAGCATAAAAAAGTTTCAGTATTACCAGTAATATATCAAAACAATGTTATATCTGCAAGTATTTTTATTCATCTAAAGCTTCCCATATTAGGGATTGTTCATCCAAAATGTGTCCAAAAGCAGAATTTCAGAATTCTGGAGTCCTAGATTTACATTCGTAATGAAATTCACAAGATAAAAATTACTAAAACTAGTTCTCCAAATTAAAGACAAGGTGAGGGTGATTTAAATGTACACAGATCTCCAAGAGTTTGAGAGATAAAAAGGATTCTGTTCTCCAGGTGACAAAGAGGAGTAACTACCAGAATTTTACACATTCTGGAAGCTTTAAAGGTTTGGGAAATATCCTCTGCAAATTTTATGGCAGATTATAGCAGATTATTTTTCCTTTTGGTTAGTTTCAATATTGCTGGTTCTCAACTTTTAGAAAATAAGTAATTTGACAATTTTTAAGAATTTTAGAATAACTCTCTTAGCATAGTTACTAACTTAGAAAAATTATTCTAATGTATACATATTAGGCTGGAATTTTAGCCAAATTTTAACTACATGTCACTAGAGAAATCAAGATCCAAAATCAGGATACTATGCGCTCTGTAGTTGGAGTGACCATACAACCCTGTTTTCTGAGGACTATTGTAATTCATACCTGTTATTCCTATCCCATTCAGCTTAAAATGTCTCATATTTTTCATTTTTAAACATATTATGAATAACTGCATTAAACTAAGACAGGATGGGTTTGTTATACTTCACTTTATACTTACACTTTCTGCCATGACTTTGTCTAGCATTGTGTAGAGTGCAGGAGCAGTGAATAGATTTTTCACTTTAACTTCTGGTTCAATCTGAAAGCCAATCGCTAATAGCCCATCTCCTTTTCCTGAAAAAACGAACTATACCTACGTATAGACCACTAGAGGTAGCTACCTCTATCCAGTCTTGGATGCTGATGGGAGAAATGTTTAAAGCTGCTGCCCCTGCCAGCCACTTGGCGCACCTCCCAATTGTGCCACAGCCATTCCTCAGCATGCAAGATGCTCAAAACCTCCAGGCCACCATCGGCTGGGTAAGCGGGAAATGGAAGGTGTTTGTGAAATACATGCAGGAAAGAGACACCATGTGTTTCTGTGCATACTGTACAAAGAGACTAATCTACACACCCATGCTACAGGAGTTTTGCCATTTAATTATCATATTGAGTAAATCCACAATTATTTATAATGTTTGGTAACATTTTATTTTACAGCAATGAGAAATTTCTATTATTTTTAGCACTTCTTTTTATGATCAAGTGCCCCAGTTTAGACGAAGAGACTATATAGTCACACTACTATAACGAAACACCTTATTCCTTAACACATTATAATAGACTATAATTGGGAATGTGTAGCCATAACTACATAAAACAACTCCTGGGTCCTCAAAACCATGAACCCAAAGCCATGGTAAGAGTCCACCAACAAGCAAACCAATTAATATCAAACTATTATTAAAGCTATTTTTTGAACCACTGTGATTCTTGAGCAAATACAGAAACATCTCTATTTCACAATAAGCATGAAAAAAGGAATATTCTATACAACCCAAAATTATATATGCTACACAGATTCAAAATTCTGTGAAACAATTAATTTTTTTAATTCACAAAGTGTTTCATGTTTCAGAAGTCTGAATTAACCCTGAGGATTTCATTCATTCTAAGCATCTTAAGAGTTTAGGTTAGGTTAGGTTTAGTCATGAAAACAGTGTAAGCAACATAACAAAGGAAACTTTTATCGTTAGGGATAGCAAATAATCATTCACTATTTCAAACAGCATCTTTTGAAATACAATTCATTAAATAGCCTTAATAAAATATCAAACATATTTGAACAAGTACAGGACAAGTCTCTATATATTTTTTTAATTCTTAAAAAACAATTATTTTCCTTAAGTGACAAGTTGGCCCATGCTGAAGGCAAGGTCATCTGAGGTTCCTGGAAGAATTTCAAAACCTTCCAAGTCTAAGAACAGAAAACAATAAAAACCATTCCTTTTGTCTATAATAGCTCTTCCAGTCTAAATGAATATCTTAACAGAACAAAATCTGAAGCGGAAAAGAAAAAAAAAACACCTATTTTTGACCTTTAAAAAGAATGTTATGGGGTTATCATAAAAGGATAGTTTAATTCTCAATGCATCCCATCTTTCCATTCAATTCAAAAACTTAAATTTAAAACACCAAATTTAAATTTCTAACAAAGCAATAAGTATTTATAAGATAACCTTAATCCAAGTATGAAATACTCTAGTCAACATCTTAAGTGAAGGTGGTGGGGCAAGTCTCACCTCTACTACAACCGAAAGAGTCTGAGGCTTAAATAGGGCCAAAAAGTGGGAAACTTGACAAGTGGCCCGAAGAACATTACTCTGATAATCCTGTCTTAATAAAACCGTAAAAAAGTTATGTCTAATACTTGACATTCATATAATATTCATCTACAACACTGAATAGCTATAAAAAAATTTTAAAGAATAGCTGACTGCCTATGCTCTTGTTTATGTTAAATAAGATCTTAAGCAAATAACATCAGATCAGCTCCTTAACTAAGGAAACAAAAATCTCTGCCTTGGATGGTTAGCCAAAACAGGGCTGAAGAAAAAGAAAAACTAGGTTCTAGTCCCAGCTACGTCTTTTTCAGTATAAGAAGCTAGAATACATAAAGGTCTTTTCCAGTTCTAAAATGATACTTTGTAGATAAAACAGTCCAAAAACTTTTACAGATTTTAGGTCTCTCCCGAATTTCTATCATGCAGAAAAAAAGTCATTTTAGAAAACCGTGATAAAAATTGAAATGTACCAGAACAAAATCAGCTTTCTTCTCTTTAATTTATAAACTAGGATTTACACACAACTGTCAGAGGCACAAAAGATGCACCAAGTAAGCTTGAATTTCACTCTAGAGGGAAAGGTGGTTCAGTGGTAAGCTACGAAAAATAGATGCCTACTCAGATTTCCAGGTGGATGTCTTAGGAATATCTTATTTCACCTACTTTATCATGCACACTCCCCATACTTCAACATCTGTTTACCTGAAATGTTTCCTATCATCAATGACATATGGTTTAATTGCAGGCGGGTTTTTTTTCCCTTAGGAGTACATGAAATAATAACAGATTTGATAAAATACATTATTTCTCTGTACTTCTCTTGAAAATACTTCCCATTCGGTCCACATCTAATTGTCAGTACAGTCAAAAACTTTTTTTAAAAAAAGAACAACTCTTGATTATGCTATAAAATATAAACGACCCTGAAATAAAAATAAACTAATCGACAATTCAACTGAGTCTCAAACATATCAAACTGATTGAGAGCCTCTAAAATTCAAGTGGAAAAAAAACAAACAAAAAAATACCAGCTAGGAAATAACTCATTTCCTCTACCAAGACAAAGCTGAATCTTTCCAATAAGCTAGCTGTAAGGCTCAAAATTAAAAAGAAAAATGTTTAGCAAGTTAGCAGGAAAGAGCCATACACTGAGGTTTACATTCTCAGGTTTGAGTGTCTCCATTTACTTATCTAATCCTGAGAAAAAGCTCCAAGTAGTCTTAGCATCAGTTGCCTCTGTTTAAGAGTATGTCAGCTACCTTACAATCTTCACTCACTTGTTCAACAAATACTTTTTGAATGTTTACTAGATACTAAGCAAGCACTCACGAAGAGCACCCACTAAGATGTGCCACTTAGGCACCACCTTTGTTAAGGGAATACTACCTGACTTACACCACCAATTCCCATCTGACGTTTAAAATTCCACACACCTGAATGAAATTTAATGAAGTAATTTCTTAAAGCAAAGCCCTCAATAGCAAATAGGAGGTACACCTTGCTCAAGTAAATCGCAATTCAAAATCGTGCCGTTTCCCGCTGACAAATTGACTTTGTGAGGGTCTATGAGAACTCCAGGCCAACGAAAATTGGAACAGAGAAATGAAAGCGAAGATGCTCACAATTCAGAAGCGAGACGAAAGACGGTCTAAAGAAAAAGTGAGCTGGAGGTGACGAGAACCGCCGCAGCGGCCCAAACGTGCTCTCCCCACTCCGCACATCAACTTAGATACTTTTCCAGCACCCCGGGACTCCCGAGTCCCCAGCCCTCCTGCATGGTGGCAGCGGCTAGCGTCGGGGACAGGGCTCCCACTGCGGGAGCCGGTACCGCCGCAAACGAGCAGATAAAATAAGGAGCGACCTGGATGGGAGCGGGGTTGGAAACCCTCCTTCCATCAGAGGATGGGGGAGGGGAACGGAGTGAGCGACCCTCGGGCCACCAGCCCTGACCCCGGGCGGGGGCGGGCTGCAGTCACGCGGCCTCGCCAAGGGCCAGCCCAGCCGCCGCGGACCCCCAGGCCAGCGTGGGGGAACCCCGCGGGCTTCCCCGAGGGCTAGAAACGGGGTGGCGGGAAGACGAGAGGATGGCCCAGCTCGATCCGCGCACGCGAGGCCTCGACCCTGCCTTGACTTCGGCGGGTCCGCGGAAGCTCCACCAAAGGCCCCCAGCCTCCAGAGGTGACGGGGTGAGGGCTAAGTCCGCCCTCCCGCCGCCAAAACCCCCCCATCGCCTCCCTACCCCCACCCACGAGCCGCGCTCCGGGGGCTCTGCGCTCCACGGCGGCGCGGGGGAGGCCAGGACCAGCGCCGCGGCCGCAGGGAACTGACGCCTTCCCCGACGCCCAGAGCTTGGCGGGCTCAGGAACCCCGACACGCAGACAAAATCAACAAAGCACCTGCCGCTCCCGAGGAGAAAACATGCCACAGGCCCGGCCCGTGGCTCTCCGACACGCCGCTGCTGGGGCCGCAGGGTTCGGCTGGCGGGCTGGGGAAGGGGGCGGGGGAGGCTCCGCGCGGTGGCCCCCGGGCCCGGGGCCTCGCCTCCGTCCGAAGGCGGTGACACAGGGACCCCCGCGCCAGAGACTGACCTTGGAGTCTCCGTTGCACAGAGCCATCGGGGTCGGGGCTGCGGTGGCCAGAGTGTGCGACGGGGCGGGAGAGGGCCGGCGGGGTCGACGCCACGGGCCGAGGGGGAGGCCTGGCTGAGGAACGGGAGAGCGCGAAGAGCAGCCGGCCGCCTGCGAAGCGCCGAATCCAGCGGCGGCGGCGAAGCGCGGGCCCCAGCGCCGCGGGAGAGACCAGCAGCGCACACGCTGCCACCGCCTCCTGCTTCCGCCCCGGCCGGCCACTGGGAGGAGCCAAAGCCCGTTCGGCAAGACAGCGGGGCCGCGGACACCCCCCCACCACACACACACACACACACAAACACACACACTGACGGCTGCCGAACAGCCCGCTTCAGGAGGTGGGGCTTTCCGCGTCCGTTCCCTCCTCCCGGTCCACCCAGCCGCCGAGGCCCGCTCCCGGCAGAAGAAACCCGCCCGAGTCCCCGGCCTGCCCGCCCACGGGAGGAGGGGCCTGCGGCTCCCGGCCTCGCCCCCTATCCCCGCCCCCGGCTCCGCGCGTCCCGCCCCGACACCCGGCCGCGGGCCCCAGGAGGAGCCGTGGGTGGAGCGCGCCTCACCCCCGCCGCTAAGGCCAGCCTGGGAAGAAGACCCAAGCTGCAGTCGCCTTGCAGTTCGTCCGCTCGCCTGCAGCTTCCGTCCACTGTGGGACTGGCGGCGCGGAGTTGGCTACTTTAGAGCTGAGGGCCTCCCTCGGAGAACGCAGCCCATGGCACAGCCTCAGGTTTAGGGACGTGCGGGGAGGCCAAGGCTACTTGGAAGAGTTTCGTGGCAGCGTGTCAAGGGATGTCAAAATGAGACTTGATCACTGGTCCTGCCAAAGTTATACAGCGGATGCAGAATTTCCAAAAGAAAAAATTGGGGGGGCGACAATCTGGTGGGAAACTGGACCAAAGGGCTGGTCATGAAGCTCAGTTTGCACAACAAACTGTTTTTATTGGGACTGCAGTCCTTTCAGCTACTCCTTGGCACCCGTCAAGATGAGATATTACATTGAATTTGGTCACGTGAGGGCCTACATGGCGTTGGGGAATAAATAAAAACACTTGGAACCACTTACAGTTAACAAAGCCTTTTAACAAATACTCAGTTGTTATAATACAGCCAAATTTGCTTAGCTCATGCTGTGTCAGGCTCTAGTCCAGGTATTAAAGAGCCAAAGTGAGAAACTTTGACTTCCCAAAACTCATTTTGTTTAACCAATTTCATGCAAGTAGTGAGGTAGGATTGATATTCGTACCCACTTTTTACTAATGAAGGAATTGAGGCTTAGTGACATAATATGCCTCTGCTCTCCGTATAGATAAGGGGCACCTGTTTTGGGAAATGATAGTTCGACAGTAAAATATTTACAGGAACAAAAGGCCCAAGGCTCTAGTGGGCCTTTTGACTCAAAGAAAGCATTTCACTTACCCTATTTTGAGCTGAAAAATAGATACTTGAACTTTGTAAAGCCATGGATACTGGGTTCTCTTGGTAGATCTGTATGAACAATCCAGAGAACAGTAGTAACCAATAGGAGAGCTTCAACTTGCATCAACATCCACCCAGAATGTAATGGAATGTGATGTACCGCTGGCACTAAGGATTGGCTAAATCCCATCTATATTAGATAATGCCTAGTTTAAATGTATTCTAGTGGTCACTTATGTTTATGGCTAAGAATATCAGCCTGTACCAGAATCCTTATATCTTATGTTCTTCTTCTACAACTTTTGACTGTATTGACCCCCTCCCTTTTTCTTGAAACTGGACTTCTCTTACAATACATCATAGAAGCATCTTTTCACCTCAAGGACTGTTCTTGGTCACCTTTTCTTGCCCCACTTCCTGTATTTATCCTACAGGAGGAGATTTAAGTGTTGGTTTTCTTCAGTATTTCCATTCCTAACCCTCTTCTCATCTTTTCACATGTGTTTCCTTGGGGGCACTTCTTTAAAAATATAGACTTGTTTAAAAATACCCCTAATCGGCTCTATGTCCTGAGCCAATTATGTCTGGAGCTCAGAAGAGAGCTCCAGATCCATATCACTCTACATATCCCCAATTAGATGTTCAATGACATATTGGGCCACAAACTCAACGAGTACAAAACAAAAGTCCCCCAATTTTTGTGGCCAATTTCACTAGCACTGTAATATTAGAAGGAAAACATTCAGTTTCACACATAAGCTGTAGCTTTTTCATAGATGTGCTTTATCAACTTGAGAAAGTTTCCTTATATTCCAGTTTTGCTGAGAATTTTTATCAGGAATGGATACTGTCGAATGTTTTTCTCTATTGAAATTATGTATTTCTATTTTCAGTTTGCTAATGTGGTAAGTTACACTGATCAATTTTAGAATGTTAAACCATCCCTCCATTCCTGGGATAAACTAAAAGTAATCATAATGTATTTTTCCTTTTTAGGTATTGGATTGGATTTGCTAAAATTTTGGTTTCAAAGTTTTGTATTTATGTTCATGAGGAATACCAGTTTGTAGTTTTATTGTAATGTCTTTGACTGGTTTTGGTATCAGGGTAATGCTGGCCTCAAAGAATAAAGTTATGTTTGTGTAGAATTATTATATGTAGAAGAGCTGGTATAGAATTGGTTTTATTTCTCCCTTAAATATTTGGTAGAATTCACCAATGAGGCCCTCTGAACCTGAAGTTTTCATTGTAATTAGGTTTTTTAACTATAAAATCCATTTTTAAAAGTAGACATAGGGCTCTTCAGGTTATCTGTTTTTTCTTGAGTGAGCTTTGGCAATTTGTGTCTTTCAAGGAATTTATCAGTTTCATTTAAGTTGTGAAATTCATAGGCATAATGTTATTCATAATATTCTCTTGTTATCCTTTTAATATCTAGAATCTATAGGGATGTCAACTTTCTCATTCCCGATATTGGTCATTTGTGTTGTCTCTATTTTTTCTCATCAACCTGGCTAGTTGTTTACCAATGTTAAAAAACAGCTTAGTTTTATTTTCTCTGTTGTTTTTCTCCTGTCTATTACAATGATTTCAACTTTGATCTTTATTATATCTTTTCTTCTTCTTGCTTTGTCTTTAATTTTCTCTTTTCCTAGTTTCTTAAGTTGGAATCTGAGATCATTGATTTGAGACCTTTCTTCTTTTGTAATATATGAATTTACACCTATAAATTTCCACCAGAGTCCTGCTTTAGCAATATCCCACAATTTCTTATATATCATTTTTTTTTATTTGATTCTGAATAGTGTCAAATTTTGCTTTTGATTTTTTCTTTGACCTATAGGTTATCTAAAACCGTGGAATTTAGTTTCCAAATATTTGAAGATTTTCCAGAGAGCTTTATATCATTGGTTACTAACTTAATTCTATTGTGGTCAGAGAATATATTTTGTATGACTTGATTCCTTTAAATATCTTGAGATTGGTTTTATGACTTAGAATATAGTTTATCTTGGTGAATGTTCTGCTGCTATTATGTGTAGTGTTCTAAAATGCAAGTAGGTAAAATTGGTTGATAGTATTGTTCAAGACTATTATATTCTTGCTAGTTTTCTTTTCATTTGTTCTATAAGGTATTGAGAGAGGGGTACTAAAATTTCCAACTATAATTGTGATTTTTATCAATTTCTTCTTATAGTTCTATCAGGTTTTGCTTTATGTATTTTGAAGTTCTGTTAATAGGGTCATAAATATTTTAAATTGCTTGTTTTTTTTGGTCTGATCTGTCAACTTCTGTCTTTTAATTGAAGTGTTTAGACAATTTACTTCCCATATGATTATTGATATGGTTAGGTTTATGTATATAAACTGGAGATTCTCAAGGCAGTAGGCTGGGACAATTGAAGGGTTCATCTCTTTTGTTGCCTGTTTCTCAGGTCACTGTCCTTTGATGTGTGATATTTAGTATTTTGAAACCATTCTTTTATATATTTTGTATGAGGTTTTTTTTTGGTTGTTTCAGGCAGACGGGTAAATTCAATACCTGTTACTCCATCTTTGGCAGAAGTGGAAGTCTGGAAACCTATTTTAATGATTAATTGAAGCATCTTAAAGTCTTCCTTTACCTGCCTTATACATACATATTTTTGTTAAGAGTGAAGATTACTGTGAATTCAGAACAACCTAGGCAACATAGAATGCTGATTCTTATAGATGTAATTGTGTGATTTCCGGGACCAACACATTTTTCATGAAACATTTGATAAAATCCATAGAAATTCCCAGATTTGTTGTGTATCATATCATAAAATATTTACTTCAGATATAATCCATGGTCATCTTCAGCTTCAAAATGTTTACTATTTTAAATTTCCCAATAATCAAATAACTCTTAAACTTATGAAAAATATTAGGTATCAACTTAAAATGTGGAAACAAGTACATAGTTTTTCAAAATCGTTTTAGGATGGTATGTGTTTTTTAAAATTTTGAAAACAACTGCTCTAAAATAAAATTTAATCATATATCCCTTCTTAATGGCGTCCCATTGCTCTCAGGATAAACTTCAAACTTCCAGTGTTGCATACTTGGCACATGCAGATTTGGCCAGCCCCTGTTGACTTGTAGCCTGTTCTCTTACCATGGCCCCTTCACTCTACTCCCTAGCTATATTAAACTGCTTTAGTTCCTTAAACATGATATTTTCTCTCTTGCCTTGGGCCTTTTGCACCTAAATATCTTCTGTCTAGATTAGTTCTGTTTCCCTCCCTACAACTCTGAAGTCCTTGGATAGATGTCCCTTGCTCTTTTGTGTTCCCATAACCCTTTTCCTTCGTTAGTGCTCACCACCCTCTACTGTATTTACATGTTTACTTGTCTCTGTCCATGGAAAGCCCTGGAACCAATATAATCCCAGTAGCAATGAGCAAACATAGCACCCAGATACTGATTTCTAAATACCTACCTCCAACAAGAGGAACCAGGCCTTCTTAGAAAAATGACTGATTTTAAGACCGAGGCAAGAACAAGGTGACCAGGAACATCTTTTTGTGCCAGTAAATAAGGAAGTGCTCAGAGAATAATAGGGACATGTCAGAGGGACACAGGATTCAGTTTGAGAGGACTTTTACTGGCCAAATCTTGGACAGTATATCAAAATAAATAGAGATGGTAAACAGATTATATCAACTGATTAAATTAGGAATCCATCTGTTTATAACTACATAAGTAAATGAATGATTAAATGGAGAGAAACCCCTTCCTTATAATAAAATGTCAACTAATAAAGGTCAAAGGGATAATTAAATTAGAAAGTAATCATTTTGCAACCATCACAGAAATGAAAAATTCAGACAAGAAACATCAATGTGTGTTAAAAGACATGAGTGAAATCTAGATAAGAACAGTTTTTATTTACATTGTCTCAAAGCCTCTTCCTACAAAAGAATTATTAATTATTCAAGGAAA